TTGTTTGCTAGGCAGTGTAATGTGTGTATCCGACTGTCTAACCCAGGGGTCACCAACCTATTAGAAACTGAGCTACTTCACGGGTACTAAGCCATACGAAGGGCTACGAGTTTCATAAACATGTTTTAAATCCTTTTTAAAAATAATGTCATTTTCAAATCTGTATGAATGTGGTGCAGTGGTTAGCACTGTTGCCTCACACCTCTGGGACCTGGGTCACGTGTGTGTGGAGTTTGCATTTTCTCCCCGTGTCATCGTGGAGTTTGCATTTTCTCCCCGTGTCATCGTGGGGTTTCCTCCAGGTACTCCAGTTTCCCCCCACAGTCCAAAGACATGCTGAGGCTGATTGGAGTTGCTAAATTGCCCTTAGATGTGCATGTGTGAGTGTGTGAGTGTGCCCTGCGATGGGCTGGCTCCCCTGCCTTGTGCCCATTGCTTCCAGGATAGGCTCCAGACCCAGTAGGATAAGCAGGATGGATGGATGAATGCAAATGTGATTAAAGAAGAATGGTAGGGCCTTATGGAATCCATTTCATTTTTTTCATAAATCCTGTTTTATTTTTTCTAAATTCTGTTTTTTCCATTTTTATTCTTCTGAATTGCATGTTTTACATTATTATCATATTTATTCACCTAAAAAGTGTCTAATTATGGAGTGGATGAGAAAAAAGAACAATGCAATAGGAAAAAATCTCACATTTAATGACTTCATGTCCTGGGTTCAGCAGAACATTTACTGTTTTGGCAAAACATTTACCTGTAAACAACAAAAACATTAATTTTTCATGCAAAAGAAAGAAAATTATGTATTTCACATTAGCATCGTCTGTGACCACTGCCCAGACATCATTGAGATCCAGTTTGTTGTTGTGGAGGGAGCCTATTACTGCTTGGGCAAAATAACAGAATAACAATGGATAATCACCAACAATCACCTAATAATTATTATCCATTCAGATACAGTTCATTTTTACCAGAAATATGCACATTTTCACTTATTGGCATAACTAACAAACACATTTCAATATCGTAATGCATGTAATTCGCATTACATTCTTATTAGTATAATGTATTTTAATTTATTGGTGTGAATGCTGTCTACTTAATCCACTCACCAATGACGATGTTCAGAACGCTGCAGTCTCTTGCACCGGTAGTTTCGTCGACAACGATTGATATTTTTTTTCCCTTGAAGCTTCTGCCACACAGCCTCCATATCAGGGTTCCCACTCTATTTAAGGAGTCATTTTCCAGGACATTTCCGGGAGCTTTTTCCGGAAATTCATGACAGGATCTGGTCATACAGTCATACACTTTAGTCGCAAGCTTAACGCCATTTTAATTTCTCTTTGATTATGCGGGGACTTAGTGTCACCGATATGCTAAATTACATAAAGGCAGCACCAATTAAGGCACTGTTTTAAACTGCAAAACTCTTTTAAAGAAATAAATGCCTCTTGGATTGTGGAAAACTATCCAAACACTGGCATATACTGAGCAATTCCATTATGTTCAGTATAGAGCTGTCACACCATGAAATAGGCTACCATTGTGACCTAATTTCAGTAAAAGTTACTTGCATATTGCATATTACATTTTATGTCATTGTTTGTATCAAACAAATTTATGTACAATGTTTGTATTAAACAAACTGCAGCAGCCAATTCAGGAGCACCTTGCTGTCTTGGGGAAACAAGGAAGTTGTACAGAAGGAATCTGCTGGAAGGGCAGTGTAATGCAGAATACATCTGAAGAAATTCTGTATGGGAACTTTATAAAGTGCCTTAAAAATGCAATGCTTGCATAAATAAATATTAGACATCATTTATCAAATACTAGAACTTTGCATGTTCCACATATATACAAGGAACTGATGTGTGATCCACATAAGCTGAGTAAAAATAAAACACAACAGTGCCTTGCTTTGTATGTGAAAAAATATCATTAAGTATCATTAAGCTAGAAATTAGAAATTTGTAAGGTTTCAGACTCTCTGGATACAAATGTTTGTCAAAAGATAATAAAAGCAGAAAAAAGCAGGGGGTTAGGGGTTTGTCTGAGAATGAAGCTAATGTTCAAAAACCTGAAACATTCACAGACTGATATGTATGTAAAAGGGCAATATGAAGCAAAACCCGTATCTCGGTATTTTTAGGCAAAATAGCGATATACGATATATATGTATGTATGTAAGTGGGCTAAATGTTTAATTTTAAGTCAAAGCCACATGTGATCTGTGACAAACACTTATGTGTAACACTTACAGAGTATAAAAAACGAAATACAAATAGAGGGTCACTACGTAAATAGTCGTATATGC